GCCAGCTTACTGTTGGAGGAATATGTAAGTGAAGATGAATCCGTCATCATCCATTCCTAGCAAGGATAGCATACTTTCCATGAGCTTGAGAGGCCATCATCCAGGCCAGAGAGAGAGAGAGGAGTTTCTCAGCCCACTCTTCAACAGAGAGGGGGTAGCGAATGAGTGGTGTCATTTCCTTGGGTGGGGGGGATCCCGGAGGAAGGTCATCACATGACCCTCCGCAGATCGAGTAAGGCCACCACATGATGGTATTTCGTTTCGTTGGCTGAAACAGCCAAAAAAAAGAAAACTCAGCTTCAACGTGCACAAACCATGAAGGAGGTGGTGAAGCCAAAAATCCGGCAGCTTAAAAGCCACAGCAAAAGTTGAAACATACAGCTCAGCTATCACTTCCAAAATAAGTGAAGACAGAAAACCAAACAGCAATGGTGTTTGTAGGGTTACTGAAGTAGGGTTAACATGGTGGCTAGCTACACTGCTATCGTTAGCATATATAAACACTGTGAAGCTGGACGCCGAACGCTAACTTTTTTCCACTTGATAAAAGTTAACGTGAGGGTTCCCGAAGGTTCGGAACAAATGCAATCGCATGGCAAGATGCTGTAAACAGACCAAACTTTAGTCAGGAGAACAACTGAGATAATCCATCTACAGTACGAGGTTAGTCACTGCTGCATGGGCTGGTGTAGCCCAGTGGAATTGAGGTTCCACAGTTCTTCTTTTTCCTGTTCTGTCTAATCTATTTTTATAATTCTATATTTTATAATTCACTATAGTTTATTTGCTCTTCTTTGCCAAACCTATTCTCTATTGTCTCAAATCTGTCTATCAAATTTATTTTGCCATCCTTTCACCTTATTGGCTTAAACCATACATTCTTGCATGTGATTGGTTAGGAGAAGTAGATCCTGCCTCCTCATGCTTACTGAAGGACATTCCAAGTGCAGTGTAGATGAGGCTACAGTGAAAGGCTAAAACAAACAATCCCTGATTAATGAGGAAAAATACTTTCTGTAGTGGAAAAAAATAACAGCCTGTAACCAGTATTTGGTTCAGGAGGAGCAGAACGGAATCACCTAGAAAACCAGAGGTTGTTTATACGGAAATTATAGTACTTCCGACCGTCTTGATGAGTGTTGTAAAAGATAGCATTGCTAGCTGATGTAGCGAGCATGGTGCCTTCTTCCCAAGTCTATCGGTGTGTGGGTAAGTTGGGTAGGCACTGATGAAGTTTTCAAAACAGTGTTTGGAGGATTAATATTAAATAATATTAATAAAAATTATTAATAAAA